GGAAGGAAGGTTGGGCAATCCTACTTCCGTAGTGATACTGCCTCGGAAACCCAAGGAGGGGTCGCTATGAGTCGGGGCCGACTCGATGGCATATAACAACAACAACAACATATGTATGTAATATCATACATTACCAAGTATGATATCCTTCTCCAGGGACTGATCCCTTCTGAGAACCTGACCAAAGTATTCTTGCTTCTAAGGATCATTCTGGCTGCACATCTCCCATACTTGATTTGTTTGTTCTTCTGGCAGTCCATGGTATTTACAGTATTCTTTGCCAACACCACAATTCAAATGCATCTACTCTTGTTTCCTTATTCCTTGTCTAACTTTCACGTGCATATTTAGTGACTGAAAATACTTCCACACCTTAGTCTTCAAAGTGACATCTTTGCTCTTTAACACTTTAAAGAGGTCTTTTGCAGCAGATTGAGGTTAAGAGAGGCAAATGATATGGTCTGGCCATCTTGGGAACAAAGTTAAGACTTTGGTTTCCACTCCATTGTTTTGTCTTTGTGCCAGGACCCAGTGGGGGCATTCATGCTCTAAGGGATCAGCAAAGGAAAAAAAGGAAAGAGTGGGAAAATGTGGAGGAAAAACATGAGAGAAAAGAGAAAGGCCAACAGGAAGTCCAGGCAGGCCCAACCATTTCTAATCTGCACTTGAGGCCATGGAAACTGCCAGACAGGTAAACACCTTCCCTTTCCCCTATCTAGAAAGATCAGAGGCCCTGTGGCATGTGGGTGGACCAGTTCAGCTTTCAGCAATGGTCATTTTGTAAAAGAGAAGAAAAGTTCACTAATATGGAATCCACTGAGGAGAAAGCACTGAAAGGAGTCTGTGCTGGTAGAAGCCAGTTTCTTTCTCTCCTGGCCAGAAATATAATGACTCAGATTAAATGTGTAGAAACCTCTTCTGTGGAGTCTTCAGTAGTCGAAGAAGGTATTCAGGACAGGGACATTTAGGAACCTTTATATTGCTAAAGGAGGCTGCTTTTTTCATATTCTATGCATGGTTGAAAATAAAGAGGAGATATATTTTTTAAAAAATATATTTTATTGTGGTAAATATATCTAATAAAACATCTGTCATTTTAACTCTTACTAAGGGTACAAAGGAGCTCTGGTAGCATAGTGCCTAAAACATTTGACTGCTAACTAGAAGGCTAGTGGTTCAAACCCACCAGCCACTCCTCAGAAAGAAGGTTGGGCAGTCTACTTCCAAAGTGACACTGCAAAAAGGGCAAGGAGGCCACATATTCTGACCTCCTAGAACCCCACAAGAGGAAGGCAGAATCACCATCAATAGCACAAGGACTATTACTGCAAGGCCAGACATGCTGCCTCCCTCCAGTCCTCTCTCCAACCGTTCCTCCCAAAGCACCCACCACCTCTCTCCTGGGTTTGATAATTCGCTGCAGTGGCCACACAGAACTCACAGATTATGGGGTTTATTAGGGAAGCAGCAGGTTACAATTCAAGTTCAGGAAAAACGCTCAGTCTCTCTCCCCAGCCAGCCATCTCTCAGCCAAGTCTCTCACAGTCTCTCCCCCCAGCAGTGCATGTCCCTCGGTGTCTTACTCAGCAATGTGTGTCTCTTGCATCTCTATCCCAGCAGCACCTGTCTCTTTCAGGAGCGCGTGTCTCTTTCAGCAGCACATCTTCCTCAACCAGCAGTCAGAGAGAGTTCTGCCTCTAGGAGGCCTCCTTTTGAGCCCGGCAGAGTGGGCAAACTAGCCAATCATAGCATCAGAACTCTAAGCACCTGAGAGAGAGTGGGAACTGTAATGCAGAGCTGCCAAGACACCAGGACACGGAGTTGTTTCAGAGCAGCAGTTTATTGGCGCTCCTGGGCGAGGTTCTCATGCCCTAGCATCAGGGCCAGAGAAGTCACACCCCCGGGCAGGGGGCATGGGCTTTTATAGACACAGAGAGGACCTGTTTGGGGACAGCAGGGGAGTGACAGGGTCCTCTAAGGAAATGGCAGGGTCCAATTAGCTGTAAGCATGGGTCTGCACTTAATTAGCATGAGGGGTCTTCAGAAGAGGAAGTTTGTCACTGCATGGGACTTTACAGTCTGGGCGGGTTCAGTCACTGCGGTTGTCTTATCAGGCTGTCTCATCAGGGCCTGACATCTGAAGGAAGCTGCCAACTGACATTTTGGGGCTAGGGTTTGCTTCAGCCTAACAGGAACCTCCCAGAACATTGCATTGTGCCATGCCCAGCAGAAATAACCCAGGTGGATAACATTTACAATCAGGAGCTCCTCAGTTGCTCATTCCACCACTGAGTTTACAATGACTTATGGGTAGAAAAGCCATACTAAGTAATTTACTGCACTGCAGATACCATCTCAGAAACCCAAGGAGGGGTCGCTATGAGTCGACTTGATGGCAGTGGGTTTGGTTTTCAGTAACATTAGTTACATTCACCATACTGTGAAACCATTACCACTTTACATTTTCAAATGTTTTCCATCATCCCGAACAGAACCTCAATACCTCTTTAGCTGTAACTCCCCATTCCCCTCCTTCTTGCCCATCCTGGTAACCACTAATAAACTTTGGTTGCTATGTGTCAGATATCTCACATAACTGAGATGATAAAAATTTGTCCTTTTGTGCCCAACTTTACTCAGCATAATATTTTCAAGGCTCATCCATGTTGTAGCATGCATCAGAATTCCATTTCTCCTTATTGCATTATTTCTGAGTAATATTCTATTGTATGTACATACCACCTATTGTGTATCCATTAATTTGTTGATGAATACTAGTTGTTTCCATTTTTGGGCTATTGGCAATAATGCTGCTCTGCATATTGATGTACAATGAAATAAAATTTCAAAATCTTCCATGCCCTCCACCTCTGAGTAGGCACAGGATTTCTGAAATGTCCTAGTCAATGACAAGAAGCATTCCTGGGTTTATGTGGTTTAATCCAGATGTTGCAGGACCCATCACAGGTATGCAGAATCACCGGGAGTGTAGGAGGTTGGAACTACCCCAATCCATGACCCAGGTTAAAGGGTAGCTGGATCCTCTTTTCCTACCCTGTCCCTCTCTGTCCCATTAGCTTCCCAAATCCATATGAGGCCAAATCTATATCTGAAGAAAGAAGAAATCCCAGGGGAGAGCTGTGGGACCACTCCAGGTACATGAGTTGGGGTCCAGGTACCCTGGAATAATCTCGGGTTCTTTGGTGCATCTGGCAAGTCCCATGTATTCTGTGTAGCCCCATTCAGCAGCCATGCATAGGATCTCCTTTCTTCTAAGAAGCTAAACTTTTCATCTTCTGGTCATGTCTAGGACAATTTTATTAAGGGGTCAAAGGGACTATTTCTTAGCACTCAGCACCCTCTGAGAACCACAGAGCAGGATGGGTAACCTGGAAGGGATGTCTAGAGGGAGCTATGTGTAGAAGATAGGATGTCCCACTACCTGCTGTCCCCCCCCCCCTTAATACCCTCTTTAGCCTATCTCCTGGAATATGTAGGAAAGTGACATGGACAAGATTAAGTGTCAGAAAAATGCACCCTTTTCCTAGTGACCTTTGAAATGGTGATTCTTTGAAATTAGGGGATGAATGGCTGCTCATGCCTGGGGTCTTTACATTTTGAATCCCTTTAAAAAATAAAGACAATTATTCCAAGGGACTAGTGGACCCTAGGAACCTCAGTCTACATGACCTTGAAACCAGAAGAACTAGATGGCACCCAGCTACCCCTGCCAACCACTTGGAAAGAGATCAAAATTGGAGTCCTGGATAGAGTGGGAGAAAAATGTGGAACAAAACTCAAAATCACAAAAAAGACTAGGCTTACTGGTCTGATAGAGACTGGTGAAACCCCCAATACTATGGCCCCTAGTCACTCTTTGGGCCTGAAATTAAACTCACTCCTATGGCTTAACCTTCAGCCAAATAAAAGACAAGCCTACAAGGTGAACAACCACACCAGGGAGGTGCACTCTTAGAACAATCAGCCATGTGAGATCAGAAAGACAGCATTTGTGCAGGGAGAAATCTCAGAAGGCAGGAATGCATAGGAAAGAAGGATGCAGGGAATAGATGTTGTTTGTTGTTGTTATGTGCCGTCGAGTCGCACCCGACTCATAGCGACCCCTCCTTGGGTTTCCGAGGCAGTATCACTACAGAAGTAGATTACTTCATCTTCCTTTCGAGGAGTGGCTGGTGGGTTTGAACCACCAGCCTTCTGGTTAGCAGTCAAGTGCCTTAGGCACTATGCTACCAGAGCTCCCCAGGGAAATGTAACCACAGGAAGGAAGTGGGAATAGAACTGTTACATTGTGGAGATTGCAGTCAACCTCAGGAAACAAAATGGGTGTGAACTGTTGAGTGGAAAACAATTTGCTTTGGAAATCTTCACCAAAATCACAATAAAAAGTTAAAATATATTTTAAGCTTGTCAAACCCCATAAAGCAACACAGACTTACAAAAGAGTTCAGGAATCTCTAGTCTTTTCCAGACCCACCACAGAAACGCATGATCTCCTGCAGAGTATACAGGGTATGAATGATTCACAAAAGAATACAGGTTTCCGGGTTGGACCCTAGGAGGGGCCAGAGCCGATGAGGAGTCTTCCTGAGCTGGCCTCCTCCAGGGCAAAGTCGTCTAGCTGCCTGTGGTCACTGCAGCTGGCAGCTGGCTGCTGGCCCAAGCTTGGGGCAGAGTAATGAGTAACTGAGCATGGGAGGAAACAGTTAAAACCTTGCGGCAACTGCAGTCATTTAGGCGTGGTTCTCCTGTGTCTGACTTGGACTGCATAGTTCCTGGGCCAAAGCAGGAGAGGAAGGACAGCTGAGGTGGCAGCAGAGCTTCCCGATGGCTGAGCTTGATCTGATGGCTCCAGGGTTCTTGCCGGGCGTCACTGCTCATATCCTGGCCCCTCTCAGCCCAGACTCTGGGACAGCCAGTCCAGCAGAAGAAGAGGACTGGGGATCTCTGGGGATGGCTGAGGGGCAGGACAGCAGCTCTGCAGAGCTGGGAGCTCTTGGTGGTGAAGGTGAGTGCGAGGGTGAAGGCGAGGAGGAGATTCTGTGTGATTTCTGCCTGGGAGGCAGCAGGCTGAGGGCAGTGAAGTCCTGCCTGACCTGCATGGTGAATTACTGTGAGGAGCACCTGCGACCACACCAAGAGAATAGCAAGTTGCACAGTCACCAGTTAACTGATCCGGTGTGGAATCAGGACCTGCGCATTTGCCCTGCCCACCATCTCCCGCTGGTTGCCTTTTGCCACCCAGACCAGGAGTGCATCTGTGACGAGTGTGGCCAGAACGAACACAAGGGCCACACTGTTGTCTCCCTGGATGCAGCTCACAGGGACAAAGAGGTGAGTGCTTGGTCCACTGGGAGAGGGGGGCTGGAGAAACAGGGTGCCCAGGGAGCAGCTGGGGCTACTGTGGCACTTATAGGGGCTACTGCCCACTTCACTTCTGTGCTCAGCTCACTTCAAAAAGGTAAATATCTATTGAATTTGGCTCTGGACCCTGTCTCAAATAGGTCATTCTGTCCCTATGTCAGTCACACTGTCTCTGATATTCCTGAGTCTCTCTTTCCACTTGTTATTAGTTTCCCTCTCTTCTTACATAGCTTTAGGTGACGTCTGTGTAGGTGTCTGAGCTTCAGATAGCATCTGCATGGCATTTCCAATGACAATTCATGAAATACAAACGTGGCAGAAATTCAGGATTAAAGAGTTCAGCCTTTCCCCCAGTTTTTCTTTTTCCCTTTACTTTAACCAAGAGACCAGTATGAAATGGCACTCTAGAGATAGATACTGATTTGAAAAGTACCAAGATAATACTGAATTTGAAATTTATACCCAGGTATAATGTCAAGTGTGGCTTAACTTAGGGAAATGTAGACATTCCTCACCAGATCAAGGACCCAGGAGGGATGGAAATACACCTTATTTATAGCCTATAATTTTATTTCCATCAGATAAGGAAACTGTTTATACCACAGGTAGATTTTCTTTGCCCTAAAGCTGAAAGCCTGGAGAACTTCTTGGGATTTGTTTTAATAACCATATGAGTTTGTTTCACATATTTTGACTTTGAGCACTTTTTGTTTTTTTCAGCAAAAAAAGGACTCTGTTCCTCATGTTGACTTTCTGTGAGCGTGTTTCCCCTGCCTCTCCCAGTAGGGAAGTTTACTTTTGTCCCACATTCCTTATGTTCACACACTCAGCTCCCTATCTGAACTCACCTTGCCAGCAGATCCATAGCAACTTCTTGCCTCAAGATTTCTGGGTAGCAAAGGAAAGGGGTCTCTGAGAAGGAAGGTTCTTTTGGATGGTTTACTCCCCAGTGCTTCTCCTTCACACTCATCCTTAGCTATCTAGCCTAGCCAGTGTTCATGGGAACTGTTCTGGAAAGCTCTATATTCCTGATGTCTATGAGTCACCATTTCCAGTTTGTGAAGCCACTTGCCGATTGTTTCCAGCTTCTCCAGGGTCTGGGAATATCTTGCCAGGAGAGCAGATCACTGCCCTTCATTTCCCGACATTTGTAGCCATTAGGAGGCTATCTATCAACAGATAGAGAGATCAAAGGAAAAAAAAAAAAACTTAAGATAATTGAGGAAAATAGAATTTATTGAGCATTAACCAAAAAAAAAAAAGAAAACCACCAAACCAAAATCCCCCACTGCCATCTGGTTGATTCCAACTCATAGTGATCCCCATTGGGTTTCCAAGGTGGTAAATCTTTATGGAAGTCAATTGTCTCATCTTCCTATTAAGCATTAGGATGTGCTGAAGGTCCCTGGGTGATGCAAATGGTTTGTGCTCAGATGCTAGCTGAGAGGTTGGTGGTTTGAACCCACCCAGTGGTGCCATGGAAGAAAGGCTTGGCAATATGCTTCTGTAAAGATTACAGCCCAGAAAACCCTGTGGAGCAGTTCTACTCTGACTGTTCTACAACACAGGGGGTTGCCATGATTTGGAATTGACTTGATGGCAATGGGTTTGGTTTTGTTTTACGATATGCTGAATGCTTTATGTGGATTTTTTCATGGAATCCTCTTAGAACTCTATGAGATAGGAACTCTTATTATCTCTGCCACATTTGTCCAAGGTCATACTTTCAATTAAGTCACTGAGTAAGGGATGGAAGTTCATGGAAAGCCATCCTACTAGAGGACTTCAAAATCACAATATTGTTTTCTTTCTTGACACTAAAAACCTGCCACACATTTCCCAGCGATGTTAAGACAAAGTGTCATTATTCTCTTCTTGGGTGCAATATCTGAATTTTATTATTTTCATCTGGAAAAAAAACAGAGGTACATGTTAAAAGATGATCTCCACTAAACATTGCAGTAGATTATAGTATGAGTATAACCATCCCACATGCCCACATCTCCTTCCTCAAAGGCAAGCACTATCTACAATTTCTTTGGTTTCCTTTCAGAAACATTCTATACCTGTATTAAGCCTGTACTAGCCCCAGGGTTACAGGTGAGGAGAGACAACTCAGGGATGCCCGAAGTAGCAAGGGGGAAGAGCAGGAGAAAGGGGATTAAAAGCCAGGAAGCCAGAGAGAAGAGCA